ATATATATTTGTGTGTGTTGAACAGTATCTAGATCATATTTCATTTTACCATTGATAAAGGTATCCGCGAATCATGTCTACTTTAAAAAATTGCTTCAATTCTTTTATCCATTAACTCAATAACTTAATTCGTACTTAGAATTACTTTTTAATCAATTTCTATTAATAAAAAGGCAATACAAAAATATCGTCTTGTTTTTTAACAAGTAAGTATAATTTTTTAATTTAATTCAGTGTCGTTGTTAATTAGTAAGTAATTAAATTAAATAATAGTAAACTTTAAATGTATTTCAAACCCTATTATTGTGTAATTAGTTAATTATATATTTGAAATACATCTTTAATATGGTTAATGTGTATAGAAAATCATATACTGTAATCATACATTTGCTCCTTTTTATTTTACCTTTCAGTATTTATGGCTTATTTAAATAAAATTAAAAAATAACTTGAATTATAAAATGAATTTGCCTTATTTATAAAAAATATGCTGAAATATATCGCTATTAAAGGATTTATATTTCAGAAAATTTATTTCCTTAAAAAAATTCATGAAATTGTCTGTTTATTTTCACTTGAAAATTTATTTAGCAAAAATTATTAATTTATTTCTGAGTCCATTTCAGTTAATATATGATTATAACTAATACATTATTTTCATACGTTTAAAGCATATTTTTAATATAGTTTATGGACATTGGAAACCACATATTTTAAGATAATACATAGATAATGTTATTGGAGTTTGTTATAATGTTATTGGAGTTAATGGATAAAAATAATGCTGTTGGAGTTAGGTTTTCTCTCAGAAAATGGTCTCAATTTATTTTTCAGAAAAATAAATTTAGATAAAAAAAAAGTTTACAACTAAAAAAAAAAAAACTAGAAAGTATTTATCAAGCAATTTTTGCTCAAAATTCAATAGAATTTCTTTCAAAGGTATATGAAATATGTTCTGGATTAACCATTTTACGAAAGTATTTTTTTTTTACTTGAAGCAAAAAAATTTGTATAGCAAAATAACTTGATATGCCTTTGTAACTTTAAATCTAAGTATCGGATGAATAAGGAAGCTATGTTAACATATTTAATGAGAGCATATTATGTAGAGATGTAATCTTTTGAAGTAATTAGGGTAACAAATAAAGATACTCTGAATATCAATCTCTAAAAAAAAATTTCTTTATTATATCTTTATTTATTTTAGAGAGAAAATTTTAAGCGAAAGATCTTTTTCTTCAAAGTCTTAAACAGCAATCCTTCTCTGTTATTTATAGTTCGTAAGACTTTAGTTTCAATGAAAGATAATAATTGAATAAAGATAGGATTGTGTAAATATGTATTAGTGTTTAAAATTTATTTCATATCATGCTTTTTAAATGAAACTAATTTTTTCAAATTATTTGTTAAAGATTGTAGTTCTATTAGTCGTAGATTACATAATATTTCAGTCATAGTTTTATTTACACCTGGTTATCTGATTCTGTCATATGACAAATTCTACTTTAAGTAAGTGAAAGAAAAATGTCAATAATTATAACACTACTTATTATTTTATTAGCTTAAAAAGATAGATTAAAGATAAATCTGCATTTGTTATCGAAAAATCTTCATAGGAAGGCAACATTGGGCTGTCTGACTGACTATGATGATGATGAGGATGATTATTTTATAGGATTTAATGTTACTTGTTATGCATATAAATATGCATTTTATTTAATATCGAAATAAATTTAAGAACACAAAAAATTATGAGGAATAAAATATATTTAAAATAAACTTCAATTTACTTAAAAGTACTTTTACATTCCTTAACGACATCCTATAAGTGTTAATATCTAACCATTTTATAGAACTCAAATGAAACAAATGACCAAAGAATTACAGAAAATTTTATTAATTTAATTAAGAGGGAAAAGCCATATTTGTAGTTACACAAAGTAGTTACACATTTGACCGTAGGGTGGCATTGGAACTATTTGGGCGAGAACGTTGCCTTTTTGCAACGCTTTGTAAAAATACCGAAAAATACTTCTCTTTATGCCTAGAGTATAATGCCTATTAATTTCTTTAAATATTTCTCTGAGTTCTTAGGATTCGTGAGGATTGAGGTTCTTAGGATTGAGGTTCAATATCTATATTAAAAGTAAGATCTTAATAGTTCAAAGGAGAGAGGCAGTCAAAACTGGTATTAATTAGGTTATTATAAACTTACATTTATTTTAGTCATATTTCGGGAAATAATAGCTCAAAATAAGACTTATTTTGCGCATTTCTTATGTACGTTTACCCTAAACTATATTAATGTCAGAAATGCTTTGATCAAGATTATTTATTATTTCTTTTTTACTATATTTCTGGGTGTGCCTGTTTCTGATTTAATTAAATTTTGATTTATACTTTCCAAATAAAATAATAGCCACAATGTTCTCAAATGTACAGTGTGCCAAAAAAAGCAAAGAAATATACGATTTTTTCAAAATTTGGTCTCTCATGAGCTGATCAACCGATTTTACTCAAATTATTGTATTTTGCCAAGTAAAATGACATGCTTTAAAGTTTTGTAAAAATTTTATATCTTACAATTCAAAATTTTTTCGATTATAATTAAATAGAATAAGGAAGTAATAAATATTTATTATTATTTTTTTTGCATAGTAATGTTTTTGGATAATCGAATTTTATATGTGTGCAAAATATTTTCAATAAGTTAAAAAAATCTCAAATATAGCAAATCAAAAATTTCTCAAGATATAGCGAAATACACAAAGAGTGAAATTAATAATAAGGGGCCCAAATGTTGGATCGCTCTATTAACCGAATTATAAGGACCATACTTTGAATTGAAAAATTTGAATTCACGATTATAAAATTTGTTTATCGAAAGATAATTTCATCCAAAAAATAAATTTTAGTAAATATTTTTTACTTTATTTCATAACAGTCTAAGAAATTTTTCATTGTAAAGTATGGATTTTTTACATAATTTTAAAGAATCTTATTTCACATGTCGAAATACAAAATTTTAGAGAAACTGGTTAAATAGTTCCTGAAAAATCACATTTTAAAAATACGATTTATTTTATTCACATATTATTATATGCCCCTATATATTTGGGTACAAAAAGTTATTTAGTTTCTTTAGGCTCACTGTACATAGAGAAAAGTGTTGCACGTTAGACCTCATGTACAATGCTAAAAAAAAAAGGAATGGCCTTACCCATTATTTTTAATCTTATGTTGGGATCTTCACGTTTTAGGATTTAAACTTAACGGCTCTCGGGGATGACCTCAAATATGCTAATTAATAAATGTAGACGATATTTTAAGTTGCAAAATTTGGCACAAAAACGTACTTTCTCTGAATAAACATATTCGGATTTCTGACCCCCAAAATATAGGAGATATTTTGAGTTGTATTTCAAGTTACAAAATCAGGTACGCCAATACCAATGTAGAATGTGCGAGAAAAAAATCAAATCTAGGACTCCATGTTAATGGTTCAAAGGGGAATCCTCAAATATTCTAATTAATTAGTGCTAAAGACATTTAAATAACGAAATCATACACAAAACCTTACTTTCTCAAGATAAAAATACAACTTTATCAGCGGATTCAGATTTTTGACCCCCGAAATATAGGGGGTAGCCGCTATCTGGGAAATATGCTCTCAGTTGTTCGTTCAGGAGAGCACTCTCAAGTTCAGATCCCTTATTGTTCCCTTTGATATATCTCAAGAACTTTTTAAAAGAAATGAAAAAAAAAATTTGCACACTATTATGAAATTCGTTTGTCCAAAGATAATTTCATGCAAAATATAACTTTTAATAGATATTTATTATTTTTATTTATATTATTTAATAATGCTCGAAAAAATGGTGAATTGCGAAGTATACAAATTTTTGTATCATTTTAAAGGACATAATTTTACAAGGCGAAATGTAAAATTGAAGCAAAATCGGTCGAATAGTTCCCGAGAAATCAAATTTTAACTATCTGTTATATTGTATTTCTAAGAAATCATTTAAGATTTTCTAAGCATATATTAGAGAACTTTTTCTGATATTTTCATCACCATCACCATAGTTGACCAGATAGCCCAATGTGAGCCAATGCCTTCCTCTGAAGATTTCTCCATGACGACTTCCAATTTACGTGTTGGAAAAATCCAATTGTATCACTCTGATTAAGCAAATATTTTTACGCTCTTAATAAATAAGAGGTTTTCGGAATAGTCCAATTAAATATTATTAAGTATCACGCTTAAGATTATTATAATCTATTATTGTTAGTCCAGACGACTTTAAATCTAAATTTTATTTGCATTTAAAATAAATTTATCTGATAACGACTTTAGAAGAAAGGAACTCGGAAAGACAGGACCAAGAAGTAACTCCCAATCACAATAATATACAATACCATTCCCAGTACAATACACAGTACAATAATGCACAATACCATACCCAGTACAATACGCAGTACAATAATGTACAATACCATACTCAGTACAATACACAGCACAATAATGTACAATACCATGTAGCACCTGAGACCAGTTTTCTTCCTCTCCTATTAGCATGACAGCAAATTGTGGGCCAGAGCCGTCAATACATTCTTCCTCCGTTCTGCTGTTTTCTTTGCGATTGTTCTCAAGCTAGTAATTCTTAAGATTTTGAAATCCTCTTCCACACAGTCAAGCCATCCGATCTAAGGTCTACCTCTAACTCTAGATCCCATTGGTTTACAATTGAATATCTTAAATATTAAATGATATGATGTATTAAGTCAAAAGTATTTAGTAGTTTTTAAAATTTGATTTCCCTTAATCGTGTATTTGGATCTCATGTTTTTAATCCTGCATCAATCATGCATTTTCATTAATTGCGCATTTCAATTAAAAACGCATTCATAAAATCATACATTTCTTATTTTTTAACCATGAAAATATGCTTATAAAGTAATTAACTCCTTTTTTTTTTACCTGTTTTAGAATTCCTAAAATGGGAGAATGCCAAAGCAGCCAAAATATTTCCGCCAACATCACCAAAGTGCAATCAACTGACGTTGAAGGCGAATCACTGGAATTCATATTCTATGGAATTGTCGCACCAATCATTATTATTTTCGGCATTTTTGGCAATGTCATAAACATATGTATCCTTCGTATGCCAATACTGAAAGGTGTCACATATGTGTATTTGAAATGGCTTGCAATATCTGATATCATGTCTTTGCTGTTTTACATCACCTTTTCACTAAGGCAACTGGGCTTCCAGTTAAAATCTTATGCCGCTGCTGTATATTACGCTCATTTTGAATTAACACTACTGAACGGATTCATGGCAAGTAGTATGTTCTTAATTGTCTCACTAACAATCGATCGTTATTTCTCTGTTTGTTTGCCAACAAAGTTTCAAAACATTCACAACAAGAAGCAGGCGCATTGCGCAATTGCTACAGCCTACGTTTGTTCTTTGATTTTGTATTTACCATTATTCTTCATAAAATATGCTGATATCGATAAGAAAACTTTAGACAGTATGGACAAAACTGAATATATTCCACACACGAACAAGTGTATAGTAGAACATGGAGTTTTTCAAACGTACGTTGCTATCAAAGAATTGTGCGTTCGTATTGGACCAATTCTAACACTTGCTGTTCTTAATACTCAGATTATTAATGCATTTAAGAAGGCCATGAAGAAAAGAAATGCTTTAAAAAATTCGGAGAATAAAAACATCGAGGAAAATGCTAAAACTGGAAGTAAAAAATTTAGAGAAGAAAAGAGACTTGTTAGCATGCTAATTGGAATAGTGATACTGACATTTATTTGCAAGATACCAGGGTCTATCCATGGTTTTATTGCAAAACATGCGGACAGAAACAGTTTTGGAATGCTGTTGTTTGCATCGATTGCGGATAGCTTAGAAGTTTTTAAGCATAGCTTGAATTTTTGTATTTATTGCTTGTGCAGTTCTCAATATAGAAAGGCATTTATATCCTTGATATCATGTTTCAAAGTTCCTCAAGCTTTTAGTTCGACATATAGTGAATCTTCTTCTGCTCGCTGCAAAGCTCGCACAGATGAAGAAATTACACACGAATAAAAATTGAAACTTACAACAGTAAAACATTTTTTAAACTTATGTGCATCGTTATGCTAATGCAAAATTTATTTCAACATTTGTTTCTAACTATGCATTTAACGTTAGCGTCCATTGCTAAAAAACTTTTTAACGCAATAAATATTAAATTTTTGAATTATTTTCATGTACAGTTTGCAAAAAGAAAATTGATTTTTATCCTGTATATCATATTTCAGTTCCCTTATATTATGTTTCAAATTTTCTATACTTTTAGTTCAACATATATTGAACCTTCTTCTGAACTATACAAAACTTAACAAGTTCTAGCAATGGTATATCGAAAAAATAAATAAATAAATAAATTAAATCTTTCAATAGTAAAAAAAAATTCATTGAACTAATATGCATAGATAGATTTATGCAAAATTCCTTTCAATATTACAAATAAACTATTATTAATTGGGCACTGCACCTTTATGTCTTTTTCTTATGATCTTTTTAGTACATCAGTTAATGAATTTTTGAATATTTTTATTGTACATTTTACAATGATGGAAGGTATTTTTTTCTTTGTATCCTAGTCTAAAGTTTCGCAAGTTTAACATATTGTAAACCATCTTCTGAAAATTTCAAAAATCGCAAAGGAGTTGCATTTATTTGCAATTATAAAATAAAACTTTCTACTAAAGGTATTTAGAAAAATTATGAATATCTTTTTGCTAAATCAAAACCATCACAGGCAACGAATAGACCTTTCCCTTATTCCTCGACAGATGACAAGACTGTGCTTTTTTGCTTCATTCTACGGTTTGCCTTGATTCGAAGCACAAATCACTCGAGTTTAAAACAACATAAAAGTCCTAATTGAAGATGATTTTTACGAGCATTATGTTAAATTACGGCAAATGGTCATTTAGTTTACAAGAAAAACTTTTTAGATAGATCTATTTTAATGATCATTATAGCTTTACGGGCAGGAATTTTTTTTTACAATCAGAGATCAGAACACTTTTTCCGTTCACTGATCATAATCTGACTGTGTATTTTTTAACAATGTATTTAAGAACTTTAAATAACTGAAAGATGAAAATTCAAATGAAAATAATTGATTTATATATTTGCTGATTTTTTTTTATAATTTTTTATTTGGATAGCATTTTATTTTGAATTGGGTAGCATTTTTGGTAAATATAAATAACTGAAAATATAAATAACATTTTTTCTGAAAAACGATTCAAAAATCCCTACCAAAAGCAACTTAAATTCTCAAATATGTCTTCCCAAATGAAGATTCAATAATTTGCTGACTCATATTTATGTATTACTCATAATAATTAATCTTTACATAAAGTCTTGAAATTCGAAATTATCTATAACACATTTTTTTATAGTGTTTTGATTATTTACGCATAATATTTTTTGAATAATGCATTCAAATTATTTTTCATTGTGCTGAGGCCTATGAGCAGAAAAATATTTTCAAGACATCAGAAATAGTAAACCTGTTTATTAAAACAAATTATTAGCATCGATTTGTTTATTACAGGTAAAATATTTTGCTAGAAAGTATTTTATCACTCAATATATATATGCTGGGTTATTCATTATTCCCTCCGGGTAGGAACAGGACTATAGCATTGATGTATGCCGTGTGACCAAGGATTCACACTTAGAACACCTGTAATGTGTGTAAGTAAAACTTGAAGTTTCGGAATAATTTCATGTTTCTTTTTTTCATATTCGTCATCTTTTTTTCACTATAACGCTTCGAAACCCTGGAGGGAATTATGAATAACCCAGTATATATATTTTTTAATATTTTTGTTTACTATTAAAATCAAGAAAAAATTCTGCACAACTAATATTTTCGAAGCATATTTTTTTTACATATTTTTTTGAAATATTTAGAAAATCAACTAAAGGTATCAAATTTTTTGCTATTTATGCTATTAACTCTATAATTAAACATGTAAAAGTTCTTAAAAAATGCAAGAATGTCATTTTGAAATTAGTACAAAAACGATAATACATGAATTTTGCTTAACTATAATGGCATAACACTTTGGATGAACTGTATTTAAGATAAGAAAAACGGCCTTTTTGATTTTTATTTAAAAATGTTCATTGATTTTCGTTATTCATCAATTGTAAGATCTCATTTTACACTTATTTTCAAAAGATATATTCTTTTTACAATTAAAATTAATTTTTAACTAAATTTCGACATATATATCAGCTAAAAATAAATTATTCAATATCTCATAAAACAACCCGAAGAACGAGAAAACTAATTTCTTCTCTTTCATAAAAAACTTAACTCTGAAATTTATCATTCATAAGATAATTAATCCCACCGCTGAAGGAGCAAATTTCGGAATTTCTTCTTAAACAAAAGAATTTTTTTTCATCACGTTTTTACAAAAGTCATTAATATTTTAAAGAATTTCCTTTATTTCAACTCAAAGGTCTATATCGATCTAATCTTTTTTTTTCTGACGTCACGTTCTGTAACTTTTCAAAACATCTAATGAGTAAGAGTATTTCTGAGATCAATAGTTATCTTATCTTTAATTTATAGAAGTTTTTTCTTCGGTAAATTTTTCGTTTTACTCTCAAGATCTGGCTAAAAACTTCTCTTCGGTTTTTTTTCTAAAAGTATTTTTATGTATTTTTTTATGTAAGATAATAAAGTTCTTTATTCGTTTTGAATAATTAATTTTTTAACAAAGCTCATTTGAAATGGTGAATAGTTAATGTTAAATCAATACTAAACGCTAATTATTAGTTACTAATAATAGCTAATTTCTGAATACTTAAAATAACTAAAATCCAATAACTAGCGTACTCTAATATATTAATACTAAATAATAGCTAAATGCTTAAAACACGGTATTATTGTTGTAATTGATATGGTTTTGTTTACATATAAATATTTCTTTGACTATTCTAAACTTATTCTTTGTGTTTTCTTAAAACTATTCTTGTTTTTTTCATGTAAGATATTTAATATATTGCTGTTTGAGACTGTAACTAATGTAAATAATTGTCATAAATTTTCTTCCAATGATCAGTAGATAATACTAACACAAGGAAACATTTTTTTTTTTTTGCATTTATGCAAGATGCGGGTGTGGGGATTTCAAATCTGAAAATATTTTTGCTCTTAAAGCTACAAATGTCTGTTTGTTTTTTTAATAAAATGCCATTTTTTGTCTTTTTTTTTTTAATAAATGTACAATTTTAAAAACGTTATATATAACAAGAGGTCGAGTAAATATTGATACAAACTTTTAGAGGAGTTGAGGTATATCATCATCATGATTAGAATCGTATTGGAATCCATGTTAAATATGTCATCATACGCGTTTAGGGGCGCTTTCCTGTTACGACTTGCTCAGAAGAACTCGAATTAACAATTTATAATAGGGTTGTTGCATTAGCAGCGTATGACGATATTTCCAAACAAGGGCTCCTATGAAATATTAATCCTAACGATGATGTGAACTCCACCCGAAATTTTGTCGCAACATTTATGTAACCCCCTGATATATATATATAGAGGAGAGTGGGGTCAATTGTAACAGGGTACGATTGTAACAGAGCAAAAATTTCGAGTGTCGGGTTCTAGATTTGGGTCCTAGGTGGCACACAAGGTGTATTTAATAAATCTACGTGTACACCCCTGCTGGCAACCATTTTTACGTACTTTTGAAAGAGTTAAATCACAAGAGATATTTTCACGCTACGTAAGTACTTTTTTTGGTATTAGAATATTATATTGTAACAAAGTAAATCTGTTTAAACAAATAAAAATTATTAACCGAATATGTAAGTGGACATTTTAATTAATATTTCAATAAAAGAAAAATTAGTTTTGTTAATTAACTACCATTGTTTTTAACAAATGAAGTTGAAATGGCGTCTTCGGGACGATTGTATTAATAAAGTAAAGGGACGATTGTAACAGCTGAAAATAAATAACCTTATGTTTACAAACCATTACTTAACTCTTTAAGAATGTTGCATTGTTCCATGTGCATTATTTAATTTGTCACCTTTCGCAGCATTAATTAAAATTTTTAACCCCTTCAAGTTAAAAGTTCAACCCTTTAGGTCTCTGCTCATTATTATTTTTACTCCTAAAATATCACTACTATTTTGATCAATAAAAAAATATGTCACAACTATGATAATATGTATAATTAACTATGTTTTAGTAGAATTTATGAACTGTTACAATTGTAACAGTGGGGACAATTGTAACAAGCGCACGACTGTCAAAAATTGTTAATAACTGATATAATAACATTTAAAATAAGGTATTTTGTTTCTAGTAGAGGATAGTTAACTTTACTCGTCTGTCAATTAATACTAATAATATATTAGATTTTTTGTTAGTTTAAAATAGTTAAGTAAAAAATTTTACAATTTACCCCACTCTCCCCTAATGTTTTTAAACTTCCTCATTACGACAAAAAATACCAGCTCGGAGGAAGAAATCGATTGCTACTTTGAAATCAAAGATACTGAAGTATTTATGAACTGCTAAAAAAATTCATGCAACGGAAAACAAAAGAAAGAAGAAGAAAAAACAGTTTCCTCATATTTCTTTCAAGTAAAACTATTTTTATGTATATAAAATAAAAAAGCAGCACCCAATAAAAATTAATTCATTATAAATAATAATTCGATTCATAACTAATACACCCATAATAACAAATGAGCATTTTTTAATACTATTGAAAACTTTTTTTCCATTTCTAAAAAATATTCTGTTTTACTTTTCATGCAAGTTAAAAAATAATTAATTTTTAAGCAGTTTTTAATATATATCCGCTAAATATAATTTAATTATTCAATATTTCATATGATAATCCAAGGAATGAGAAAACTATTTTTTTTCTTTAACTTTTTCATTCATAAAATAATTAAGTCCACTGCTGGAGAAGGCTTTTTACGAATTTCTTCTCAAAAAAAAATTTTTCTGTACGTTTAAGCACAAGTCATTAATATTTTAAAGATTTTCCTTTATTATAACTCAAGGTTAAAATTAATCTTGACTTTTTTCAAGCATTACGTATTGTAGCTTTTCAAAACAGTTAATGATGGGATCAAATTTTTGATCAATAGATATCTTTAATTTATGAAAAAAAAATTCATCGGACAATTTATTTTGTTCTTTTTGTCCTCCAAATTTTACTAAAAAAATTACCTCATATTTTTTTTAACTATTCTTATGTATGTAAGATAAAGAGCCATGGAAATATATATTCATTGCGAATAATAACGAAACGTTATGTAAAAAACTATATTATAAAAACTTTTATCTAACGTTAAATGATACTGATGAGTGAAATATTCAAGACTATATTTTGGAAGAAAAAAACACTGGTTTAAACTCGGTACTAATGACATTTCTGGTAAGAAAAAGCATAAAAGCATGATAAAACAAACCATTCATTCGGTTTAAG